GTCGCTATGAGTCAGACCTGACTCCAAGGCAGTGGATTTTAAGGCATTTTAAAGCATCTGACTGCTAACCAGAAGGTTGGCGTTTCAAACCCACCAGCAGCTCCGCAGAAGGAAGATGGGGCGGTCTACTTCCCTACAGATTTACCGCCTCAGAATCCCAAAGGGGGTCGCTTTGAGTGGGAATACACTAGATGGGAGTGAGGTGGCTTTTTTTCTTTTTTAATTTAGTTTCCGTTGCTGGCCCGAATCCCCCAACTCCTGAGGTAGGACCACCTGCTTCCAGCCACTCTCTCTTTTCCATTGCCTCTGGGCTCTCCCCTTTCTAGAGAAGACCGGAGCATTGCTTTGAGAACCACTGCGACCACCGCCTCCCTTTACCCCTCCCCCTCCTCCCTCAGGCGGCAACTGGGCGAGTCACTGCTGGGGGATCTGCGTGAGCCTGCCTAGTAACAGAGCCTCGAGGTCAGAGGCTGTTGAGCTAGGGGAGGGACCAAAACGCTGGCGCGTGTACTTAACGTCCTCACTGTTTGGCTGAGAGGCAGAGCCTTCCCAGTCAGCGGGAGCAGGGGGCGCTAGTCGCCAAAGCGCGCGGTTTCTTTTCCTCTGAGCTCTACGAGAACGAAGCAAACTTGCTTTTGCGAGTGGAGAGGCTGCACAGTTTTTCCCCAATGTCTGGTGAATCAAGCCAGCCTCAGGCTGGCCCCTCACATGCTGGGGAAGACCAAGAGAGCCGTGAGAGGGATCAGGTTGGGGTTCCGGGAGGGGTGATCCGAAGGGCTGTTGCCCAAGGGCCCAGGTCCTGGATCCAAAAGGTTCTTGAGCGAGTTATTGATACACCTCGCCAGAGGTTCTACGTCTCGGAAGTGGTGCCTGTCGCTGTGCTGGCCGTCCAGCGGTACCTGTTAGAGGACGAGCCGCGCGATTTAGTGCCCAAACTTCCCCTTTACTGTTATGACGTGACAATTTCAGACGGGGTGTATCAGGAGAAGTGCTACCTGAACCCCTCCCTGAACTTTCTCGTATATAAAAATATTCTTAAAGTTGGCAAGGAGGTGAGAATTTCCAGAGTCTCGTGTCTTTACAACGAGAAAAGGATAGGGCAGGGGGTGCTATGTATAGATAACGTCCACTGTGGGAAGATCTTGGACGCTATCTCTTTAGAAACTCCCTTCCGAAATCACGCTCATGAGCAGGTACCAGAGAGGCCTTTAAGAGGGGGGAAGAGTCACTACCTGGCTCTGTGGAATAACGAAGATCCATATGGTGATATCTGGTTAACCAACAAGGAAGCTGAGGAATTGAGTGTAAAGAGTAAGTAATTGGAGGGAAGGACAGAGGGTTGTGTTGGTGTTGGTGTTGGTTGGATTTTGTTTTGTTTTGTTTTTAAAATAGTGTTCTGGAGCTTGTGTTAAAGATGTAAAGGTGCTTTTGTATCTCTTCCTAACACACCAGGAGTGATAATAGGCATATTTTTTGGAATGATAGCAAAACGATGCTCTCTTAATGCAATTTGCAGTCCCTGCCTTACTTTGGTTGTAAAGTGTCCACTCAGGAAGTGTGAACGCATCTTAAATTAAATGTGGCAAATATTCCTCACGTGTTCGTTACATGTATGACTATAGTAAAATGAAGCTTACTTTTCAGGTGTGGAGGTAATACAGTCTGTATCGGTTGAAGAGGGCATAGCTATGAATAGAGGAAAACAAAGTTGTAAGCGTTTGCGGTGTTGTGTGTTTTAACCTTCATTCAAAAAGGATGCTTCGTGCGTTATTCCTTACTATTTAACAACAACAGAAATACCACGTTTGTCTTTGAGTGGAACACGTATATAAACATCACTGCTTGAATGTGGGATTTTGTGAGAAAGCTTGGCATTCTCATCGTAGTGCTTATTGCTTACCACGGGCAGTGCTGATCTGAGAAGTTCAATTTTTCTGTATATGAAGTGGAAAATTAACCTGAAAATGCCAGCTTGTCAGCAGCAACTAGTCCAAAACATTTTTTTTTTCAGTAAGAGATGGAATTACGGGCAATGATAGTACTGTAGATATGTACATCTAGGCAATGGGGAAGAAATGAAAATGTAAAAAAAAAAAAAATGGAGGGAGAAAGTAGTGGAAGAAGAAAGATGATCATTTTCTACATTTACTGTTTTTCAGTCATTTTTTAAGTTGTAGTTGCAATGTTAAGTTATGGATACTCTTACTATGACGTGTAAAAGCTGCAAACTTTAATGATAACTGGGTTGAAATATATACAATTACAGTTATATCAAGTTATAATAAAAAAGAAAGATGAAATAACTACGTTTTAAAAGCAAGATGGACATTTCAGGTATAAAATAATGGAAATTATTTTATCTCACGCATGGAATGAGGCAGTAGTGCTTTAACATAAGACTGTTGTTCATTTTGTTTTTAGAATTAATATTGTTGTTGGCTGCTGTAGGGTAACCCGGACTCAAGGCATTACTGAGTGGAACTGCTCCATAGTGTTTTCTTGGCTGTAGTCTTTCTGGAAGCAGTTCACCAAGCCTTTCTTCAGAGGAGCCTCTGGGTGGTTTCAGGAGGCCAACCTTTAGGTTACCAGTCAACCACAAACCACTTTTACCACCCAGGCTCCTGAGAATTGAATATACAAAAAGGAAACTTGAACTCCAGAAGAATTATAAAAAAGGATAATACTTTGTAAAAGTATATTTTGTTTTTGTTCTCATTATGAATGTAAAATCTTGCCATTTATTAAAACCATATTTTTATTACTAAAGAAACTCTGATGGTGTAGCAGTTAAGGCAAAAGTTCAGGGGTTTGAACCCATGAGCCGCTTCGCAGAAGAAATATTGGGCAATCTACTTCCGTAGAGATACGGCCTCAGAAACCCAAGGAGGGGTCGCTATGAGTCGGATCCGACTCCACGGCAGTGAGAGAGAGAGAAAGAGAAAGACAAATATCCTACAAAATTTTGTATGTGCTACAAAAATCCAAACCATATAATTAAAAGTATATTGTGTAAAAAGTGTAAAATGCAAGTATAACTTGTTGATGGTAAAATCCGGGAAGTGGATATATTGGTGTTCACTGTAAAATTCTTTCAGGTTTACTATGAATTTGAAATTTTTAATAAAATGGAGTGGAGTGAAAGGCTCTTTTCACTTTCCTTCATGCTTCCAAATGTCCTCTCAAAACTGCAAACTGTCATCAGTTTGGTGTGTATCTTTGAAAAAAAATGTAATTATATGACATTTAATTGTGGGATTTGCTATTTCCATTTAATATATCTCAGTCATCTTTCATGTACATCTGCACATATATTATTCCATAGTGTAACTGTACCATAATTTATGTAATCATTCCCTTGTGAATGAGTAATTTGCAATTTGAGGCAATTACTAGTTTTTCACTATTAGATATAATGCTGAACATCATTAGGATGTACACATATTTTTGTTCATTATGTTCAAATATTTCGGTTGAATGGATGGATTTCTAGAAGTGAAATTGCTGGGTTAGAGGGTATTTGATTTTTTTAAAAAATTATGAATACTAATAAATCACACTCTAAAAATATTGTACTAATTTATAATGCCACTAACATACATATGAGAGTGCCCATTTCTGTCTGTTTTTACTGTCATCAGCCCTCTTAATTCATGCTAATCTCAAGAGTAAAAATGGCATTTTATTACTTATTTTGCATTTCTCTGGTTACTAGTGAGGGTGAGCATCCTTTAGTATGTTTATTGACCACTTGCATATATTTTTCTGAATTGCCTGCTTATATCTTTGAATATTTTTTAATTGTATCATTTAGTTTTTCTAATTTATAAGATTTCTCTGCTAATGAGTATTAAATTATTTGCTATGTAGTGCAAATTATTTTCGAACATTCTGTCATTTCCTCTTAACTTTATTTGAGGTGCTTTTTGTGCTTCTGAGACTTTTTTTTTTTTCGTTAAAGGTTTACCTTCCCTCCCTTCTGCACCCACCTATGGTAACCATCAAAGAATATCTTTTTTTGTGAAACCCTTTTATTGACTTTTTTACGTAGTAGTCTCATACAATATTTGTCCTTTTGTGCTTGACTGATTTCACTCAGCATAATGGCTTCTAAAGTCATCCATATTATGAGATGTTTTGCAGATTCATCATTGTTTTTTTAACATTGTGCAATATTCCATTCTGTGTGTGTACCATAATTTGTTGATCTGTTCCTCCGTTTATGGGCATTTAGATTGTTTCCATCTTTTTGCTATTGTAAATAGTGCTGAGATGAACATGAGTGTGCATGTATTTGTTCCTGTCCCGGCTCTTACCTCTCTAGAATATATATCTAGTAGTGAGATTACTGGATGATATGGCATTTCTATTTCCAGCTTTTTAAAGAAGCATCATACCATTTTCCACAGTTTCACCATTTTACTGTCCCACCAGAAGTATAGTAGGGTTACAGTCTCTCTACATTCTCACCAGCATTTATTGTTTTCTGAACTTTGCTATTATTAGTGCTGGGGTGAGATGATATCTCATTGTTTTGATTTGCATCTCTCTAATGGTTAATGATAAGAGCTCTGGTGTTGCAGTGGTTAAAGCGTCCAGCTGCTAACCAAAAGGTCAGCGGTTTGAACCTACCAGCTGCTCCATGGGAGAAAGAT